CAGCAACAGAAGCGGAGCTGTCACTGATAATATATTCATATCAGTCTTATTGATGCTATTAGTACAGTGTTTTGAGATTACAAAGAGTGATCACTTAACCATTTAGCTTGGACCATAATGTGGATATGTGGAAATAATGTAGCACAAGAGAGCCATAATATAGAAGGCATTACAAAAACTCAGAAATGATTAAAGTGGACATTCCTCCTTGGCCAAAACTGTAAGTTGAATGCTATATAGTCCAACAATGCTACAGCAGAGGGCTACCCTTCTTCAGAACCAGAAAATACACATAGCTTATATGAGGAAGTGTTTGGCAATCTCAAACCTCTGGCAGATAAAATAACTGAAACCAGAATTTCTTGATTTAACGATAAATGTAGACATGAAAGAAAGGAACTGGCTAGACTAGTCAGACAAATTAAGAAGAATAAATCATTTTACAGGATACAGGCAATGAGAGATAACACCGGAAATACCAAACACTGATAAGGACTAACAAACAAGATTACCATAAAAGCCAGCGGCAAAAATTAAGACAGTTGTGTTTCCAAAACAGAATTATTCTGGGAACTACTTTCCCAAGGCCAGAGAGAAATAAAAGTAATAACAGAAGCACAGGTTTCACCTGAAGTTTGAATAGGTTATTTTAAAAGTAAATTTGAGGATATTAGAATACAAACCAACCGTTAATGGGAACAGATTTATTAAAATCATCCTTAAAATTGTCCCCAGTAAGTGCTGCAGAAGTTAAAAGAATAATTCACAAGAGAAAGCTGGCAAAACCTTGGGAGAGGATGCGTTACCACCAGAAAAGCTTAAGACATTCCCTAACTGGTGGGTACCTACCCTCACCTCTTTGTTTACTTATATCATTAACTTAAATCATTAATGTGATTTCCTTTTGTTTGTTTGTAATGTGTATGCTTTGATGAAAATAACAATTCATTTCACTTATTTAAGACACTATATGGAAACTAGCTAAGCTTATTGCTGAAGAAACATTGATTCCCACGAAGAGCAGAGCATTCTATTAGATCAAGATTGCTTCAAGAGAATGAGCACCTCCCTACGAGAAGGTACAACAAGATCCAGATACACACTGAACAAATGGGGCTATCCACTGGCTTCTGCTGTTTGCGATAATGATGACATGTAGACAATAACACATATGTGTACCTGCCCTTGGTGTTCCGATCAGTGTACACTTGAGCACCTCACATGGCAGAGTGACCGAATTCAATGTTGCTAGTTTCTGAGAAAAAATTGTTTAATTTGTACATATTTTAATCTTGTATTTTATATTTTAAATCTCTGTCATATAGTATGCCTTATTTTAATTGTGATGTTTCTGACATGAATAAACAAACTAACTTCAAGAGAATAAGGTGCTGATACTAGGACTTTTCATGAATCTTTTTGTTTATTGTTGTCCAGGGATACCACTATTATATTAAGCTGGGAGAGGATTACAATACCTGTAAGGTTCCTTCCATCCTGTTGTATAATACCCAGACTCTTTTGGCATTTCTTTGTTGGAAGCAAAACACTGATCAGAATTGCTTGGAGCTCTTGGGTGAAAGACAGCTGGGTTTTTCAGATGTCCTTACATGCCCTGACAATCTGCTTACCCACAAGAAAAGAATGGCTGGTCATAAATCAAGACATGCAGCTGATTTATCAGAATTATTTATCCATACATCCCATATAAAATATGCATATGTTATGGACCATGCAGATGTTGATCTATTTGCTATGAACTTTAGATTTTCTCAGCTCCTGCTATTTTTTGTTTAGCATTTTGAATACCACAAATTTAAATCTAACTGCATTTTTAAAATGAGGTAACTCTAAATTGTATCTGTTACCCTGGGAGTCTCTTCCTCAATGTCAACTTATAAGAATGTTTTTAAAATCAGCTGTGAAATGAAAGTAATTTGTGTGTGTTTAAAGTAATTATCATTAATTCAAAGTTCCAGAAGAAGCACATGATTTCATGATGGAGTTGGGTTTTCAGTTAGCACATTGTGTGAATCTGAATCTTAAGTGCAACTACATATAGTTAGCAAGCTATGATTTAACATAATGTGTATATAGCCAGTTGTGGTTTCCTCAATAATCTTTGGTTAAACAAACTGTGGCATACCACAATGTGCTAGTCCTATCAAAGATATAATTCTGAACTATACCTAACATCAGTGTCTATTAGCTTAGTATATATTCCCCACCTTTCTCTTTTTTTGCCCTTTTAAAATTTGTATTCATCACTTCAATGAATAATTGAACTGAATCCAAACAGAGTCACAGATTTATATATAGCAATAAAGTGTGATACAACAGAAGCTGTTTCCACTGAATCTTTCTGTGTATAGATTACAGCACAGTTTAGGTCCACTTATTGGATATAAGTGTGTAGCCAAATGGAATTGTTCATTCAAACTGATAGAATTAATTTCCCCATTTTTACTTCTTAGATATAAATCTATGAACTTACTTTGGTTGAAAATATTTTTTCCCATTATATATTCTTATCTTGCCTATGTATTTCACTTATTTACTTATAAAAACAAATGTTTTGTCCATTTGAGGGAGCAAATTTTATTCTTTAATTCCCAAGGTGAAAGTGGGAATTTACACTTTACAAGTTTCCCAATCATGTTATAAGTGCTCATAAAGTATACATTTGTAGGAAACTCACAATGTACTGCATTAGGATAAAGGGAAATTATTTATAAATGTACCTGTGAATATTCACTTTCAAAAGGTATTTTTTAAACTTCCATTTGACTCACTGACACATGGCTTCCTGGTTTTATGGTGGGAATATCTAACTGTGTCAACTTTCATGCTAAAGTAAATAGAGGCGATGCATTTTTAAGTGGCTGAAGGAAGAAAAATCAGTTTGCCCTCTGGTGTTACCCCATGCATTGGAAATAAATAACATTGTCACATTAAATGGGCTAGCAAAACGATTTAGATGTACCTAGATGGATCTGTTAACAGCACAAACAAGAGTTCATCAGCTGGATTTGTAGCACACACTTTCAGCAGATAAATCCTTGGCATTTTTTTAAAAATTAATCCTACCTTGTCTTTGAATGGTAGGGGCGTAGATAAGCTAATGTTAATGTAGTAGGTATCTTGATTACAGTTTCTATTTTTAATATATATGCTTTGTTTACCTACGCCTGTTGGCATTAAATTAACATTTGTAGGGTTATATTTAACTTAAGTAGGTCAATCTGATTTAGGGTTTGGGTGGAGTGGACTTGGGTGAGGGACTTTGGGTGGAGTGTGTGCATATATGTGACAGGTGGCACAGAGCTGATGAGGGCTCTATATGCAGTCTGCCAAACTATAAGGGTAAATAAACATCTTTCCAGGTTTGAAGGTGTGTTGAAAATATAGGTCTTGCTTTCATTTGATGCTTGTGTTCTAAGTTATAATACATTGGCATTTGATATTTCTAATTTATGTTGGGTTCTTATACCATATTTTCATTCACTCTGTCAAGAAGTTCAGATTACAAAGCTTAATTCAGAGGGATGAACCTTCAGATCTATGCTATAAAATAGGAGAGATAAACAAAGAGTTTAAAACAACTGGTACATACAGAATTTTGAAAACAGGTTGTGAACACTCTCACAAAATGTTTCTCAAATTGGGGTTTGGGCTTATCTAGTATGAGTGACTGCCATTTATTTATTTTTTATAAAATTTGTAGGCCACCCCTTTTACCTCAAGGTCATTGTGGTCTGTAAAGTAATGACTTTCTTCCTTTCCAAAAATTACAGTTCCAGCTTGTCTTTTTTTCAGAGTATATATATATATATATATACTTATTAAAATAGCAATTATTTATTTATTTTAGATTTCACACTTCTTAAACCTCTTCTCCCCCCCCCCCCATCTCCCTCAGGCAGGTTCTAATTTGCAGCTGTTTTTATTTTCTAAGAATGCTTTCGTACCTTAATGTGAAAGACAAACCATTTTGTAAACAAATATGTTGTTAAAAATGGATACTTTAGCAGCATTAAGGGATTAACTGTTATTTTCCATTCTTTTTTCAAAAATTAAAAAATAATTTTAAAAATTGAGATCTAGTGATAAGCAACTTGCTTGGATAGAAAAAGTGATATTAGGTTAGCTCTACCCCTGCTTCTTAAATTTGGATTTAAGAGGGAGAGAAAGTTATAAAAAGATTCAAAGAGTTAAAATTTTTAGGATAGCTACTTCTACCAAAAGCAAAGAGCAATTGTTGAAATGGCACATCACTGAACCGAAGAAATCTCATTTTCAACAAGATTTATTTAAAAAAATATAAAACAAGTTTATAAATACAAATATGCAAAGTATAAATAAAATATTCCATTTTCACATTTAGAAGAGTGAAAAGTCATAGGTTCAGGGTAAAGTAACAAACACTGGCAACAAAAAGTGGTGGCAAGAACCTCAAATTCTGTTAAAATTATGAAACAGTGATTTGCTTAACATCAAAACATTACAGTAATGACATTTCTGGAACATGCCTTTAAAGTATCACTGAATTCTGTGCAACACAGAAAAATACTTCTTTTTAGTAATCGCTTGTCTAAAAATACTCAAGAGGTCAGCTGATTGAGAGGAGTATGATGAAAGTTATTTAGATAACTGGTTCTAATTTATTTAAAGTTTTAAAGGCTAAATTAGTGCACAGTAGAGACAACCTCCTGATTTTTTTTCTGTCAATGTTCCAAATTCAATTAGATCAGTGGTTCTCAACCTTTTTAATGCCGCGACCCCCAACTGGTCGTAAGTTGAGGACTACTCAACTGGTCGTAAGTCGAGGACTACTCAACTGGTGCAGCACCGTTTGCAGAATGGGACTTTTGGCAGGCTCAGCAGGGCAGAGACAGCCTGGACAATTCCTATTTGCTTTTGAAAGCCAATAGAATTAGACTCTATTCAAGAGAGTCTATTCTATTGGCTTTCAAAAGCCAATAGAATAAAAGGGAGTAGCACAGCTAAGGAAAAGGGGAAAAAAATGGCGGACTGCGTTGTTTGGCGACCCCCATGAAATGGTAGTTCGACCCCAAATGGGGTCCCGACCCACAGGTTGAGAACCACTGAATTAGATGAAAGAGAAATTGTTTTAGTTCTCTCTTTTTTCAAAGAATTGAAGAATTGCTCCCAAAGTATAATATTCTTGCATTTATAATTTAAAATACTTGAAATGGGTATCCTGGTTTTCATCATACAAACCTCTCTTTACCAATCAGCAATGTCCACTTATGGTTCTGTTAAATCCCAGCCTAAAGCATCTTATGAGAACTTAGCCAACTGGGATATTTTAGTAGTTGGGCTGGTGTTCCTTGAGAAGTAATTGGATTAGTTCTTTCTCCAATGCAGGAATTCAAAGAAATTGCCTGTACAATCTCCTTGGGTAAGGAAAATTTTAAAACGTCACCATTCTAGTTAACTCTGGAAGTCATATTATACACGAGTTTAACTGTCTTTTCAGAGGCAGCCCACATGCAATACAACATACCACAATAGTCCAGCTTGAATGGAATTCAAGTGCAAGCCATTCTGAAAAAGGAAATTGCTGATCCATCACACAAAACTGATAAAAGTCACTTTCAGCTTCAGGTACTGTTTGGGTTTTTATCCACCTAACAAGATCCAAACATGTGCCATAGTTCTTCAAGCTTGGATGAAATGCTTAAAGAAAACAACAGGATTTGATGTCCACATTTAGAATCTACTTGAGTACAAGTTCTTGGACAATTGTCAAATTCTTAGGAAAAATTGTATCTTGTATCCCATAAACTAGCAATTTGACTTGTTCCATATCTGTCCAAAGGCTTCACTGAAACTTCATTTATAGCAAGGTAGAATTCTTTTTAAGAAATACCTTACATTGATCACGAGCATCTCCCTGAAGTGATCTCCCATTAAGAAATAAAAGAAGGGATTAATTACACTATTCAAGAAGGCAATAGGCCTTGTTATTGTGTAAACAGCTTTAATCAGGTCCTCTGTGCGTTTGGAAGGCTTCCAGAATGATGCTCGAGAAGCAATTCGAACATTGCGCATGATGTGATAGGGAGCAAAGAGAAGTGAAAAGACACTCACTGCTGTAATGATTAGCATGAGAGGCTTCTCCAGGGGTAGAGCAGTGGTGAACTGCAAACTGCGGTTTATAAGGACAGCACGAGTCTTTATGTAAAAAGCCCACATGATGCACAATGGGATTATAAACCCAGTGACTGTCAAGATCAGGCTGTAGATCAGGCTGGGGAGGGCATCTCCTGAACTTGCATAATCTAAACATTGGCTACCATTGCTGTTATTCTGAGAGGTGATGAAGTAGTATATAGGAGACAGTTCCAATATAATCCAAATCCATATGGCTACTGAGAAAACAATAGCCGTGGTCTTCTTCTGCAGAAAGTGATTTTTGAAGGGATACTTTATGAGCAGATACCTGTCAATACTTATAAAGGTCAGGAAAAGGATGCTTGTGTACAAATTAAAGTACAGGATAATTCTGTTAAATTGGCACCACATGTTGTCATCTGTTCCTTTGGAATAACTTGACACTAGCCATGGGAGCGTGCAAAGGAAAGATAAATCTGACAGGATTAAGTTGATCAGGTAGATGTTGCCACTTTTCCAGGTCTTCCAGTAGAAAAGTGAACTCAAACCAACAACAACGTTTCCAGAGAAACCAAAGATGAATTCAAGAGAGTACAAGGTGGTAAGGTAATATTTTTCCAGCTGATCAGATAGTGTCATGCGTTCTCTGGTGCCATTTGTGTCCTAAAAACATAAAACTGGTGTAAATAATGATTTTTTTAAAAAATAGTATTTATTTTATTGTTTTGTCTTGTGAACAGTTGATCTATAGGTAGTCTTTACTTACGTTTAAAGCAATATTCATTGCAAGACTGTTCTCAAGAGAAAGAAGATCCTTCTGATTCTCTTATTACTTGGTTTCATAGCATGAATATATAGAACTCTGTTTGTTGCCACCTAGTGGTCATTCAGAACCTTTCATCTATATATTGTAGCTTCTCAGGATCTTTTTTTAAAATTTCCCATGACATATTTGTAAACAGATAAAATTTTTAAATGAAAATTATGGGAGGAAAATCAGAGCCAATAAATGTAGTGATTGAGAATTAACAAATATTTAAGATTTGCTATTATCTAACCTTCTGCTGAATTAAAAGACTGCTTGGAATTTGCAGCTTGAATCTCTGGCAGGAAAAAATGACAACTAAAGCAATGTTTTAAGGAAGGATGCAATATAATACCACCATATTATCAGAGATCTTCCTGGCTGTACCAATTAAATGTTAGGACTAAATACAAAGGCAGCCCATGATGCTACCATGAGGTGACATGATAGGAGTGTTCCAATATCTAAGGGGCTGCCATAAAGAATACAGAGTCAACCTATTTTTCAAAACACCTGACAGCAAGATAAGAAGCAATAGACAGAAAATAATCAAGGAGAGAAGCAACCTAGAACTAAGATGAAATTTCATGATAGAACAATTAATCACTGGAACGACTTGCTTTCAGAAGTTGTGAGTGCTCCAATACTGGAAGATTTTAAGAAGAAATTGGACAACTATTTGTCTGAAATGGTATAGGGTTTCTTGCCTGAGCAGGGGGTTGGACTAGAAGACCTATAAGGTTCCTTCCAACTCTGTTATTCTGTTATAGTATACTACATAGTAATTCTGTGGATTACCTGTACGTACACCACAACTTTTAAGGTTATTTCCAGGATAAAACATGTCTCAGCTGAAATTGATATTAAAAGATATTGCAGGTTTCCTGAGCCAATGCAAATTGAGATAGTCCTTCAAAGTTCAGATTTATTATAAAAGAATGAATTGTATCTTTCTATCTACTTTCTATCTACTATCTCTCCAAAATTGTAATTACTCACAGTAGATGTATCTATCTTTCAAAGATTCAGTTTAAATTCTTCATCCAACTCATTGCCAACAACAGCAGGTATTTGGAAAGCACTGGATTTTGCAGTTATTCCAGAAGATACCATGATACATGGTATTGAAAGCCAATAATTCAATAAGAGCTAATCATCTGCCCTCAAGGGACCCTCGAGATCATGTGTCCGGCAATCTTAACACTGGGCTCTGCAATAAAGTCAATTGAAAAATGTATCAGGATAATTTGTCTACCGGTCAGATGCAGAGGAGCTCCTTTGAACTCCATCAGACTTGAATCAGCTCTCTTTAGTGTTTGGTTTCAGTCAGAATTAATGCAGCTAATTGAGTCTAAATTTAACTCAAGACCAAGGGAAAGGATCAAACTGTCAATTCTGAGATAACTGAGAACAAGTTGATAACAAAAGCCACCATACAAAATGTCTTATTTTTAAAAATTACACAAGTTTTCTTAAAGAAGGCAATTCCAGAAAAGACATGGATTAAACTCATATGTATATGTGTGTGTGTTTAAATTAGGGATATATTGATAAAGTTTCAATATAGAACTATCCAATAATTTCATTAAAATAATTTCAAACTGCACAATAATTATGACTGAAGAAGCAGACTTTAGTATCAATACTAAAAGCAGAACGATGATTTTAAAAAAATGTTTACACAGTTGCTTAACATTCAGGATAAGATTGTTGTTTTTAGTTGATACCATTAATTCAAGAATATAAGCATTCATATCTAATCACAGTTATAAATACAAAGCATTGAAAACTTCTCTCAATATTCCAATATTCTAATAATTTGATTTGATTCTATTTCCCTTTAAGGCAACTTACCATTCTGTAGAATGGGTATTGTTCTTAAAAGATATGTCTTGACCATGTTCTGAGGAATGAGTCAGGATATAATGAAAACAGCCCAAGAGAAGACACTCTGCCTGATTTGCATACTGGATTGAAAGTGGCTAATGATTCAGTTGTTACTGGAAGTTTATTGGCTTGAGCTTCGTAGGCAGAGCCACTGTAGCAGAAATATTGCAAAACTCATTCTGAGAACACTGAAATAATGAAATAATTATTTGCCTTCTGTGAGCCACTAGAATCTAGCCAAGTGTCCCATAATTAAAGGGACAAATCCATTTATAAAGTTCTGCTTGAGCTGATTACACAAAAAAGGTTTTCAATAACCAGAGAATATAAGAACTTTTTAAAAAAGGCTTGTTTTTTTTAATCAAACATTGTGCAATTAGAATAAGAATTATTTCTGTCACTGAGTCATAGAACAAGATGCCTCGATACCTAAAGCTAACTACCACTTCCTTATTTACTTTAGCAAACCTTTAGAAATTGCCACACCTTATATTCCTGCATTTAATGAACTTAAGGTGATTGCTAGCATGAAATCCGAGATATCTCAATAACTTAAAATTTCAGAAATTATAGTTCAGATTCCATTATGAGTCATCTGTATATTGAACTGGATGTTTATATTTGTATGAAAAATTCTTGCCAAATCACCCTGACAATGTCTTCGTTTGTTCAACCTCATAGTAACAAATGTCCTCTAACAATGCAAGCTTGAAAGATGGCTTTTTTTTTTTTTTTTTTTGCAGGAATGCATACCTTCTCTGTTCAGCCATTGGTTCATAATAAAAGCTTTCTTTGCCATTTGGCTCAGAATTTGGGAATTGAAGTCACATCGTACCCGGAAAGCATCAGCTTATGGAGAACTAGGTTAGTGTTAGTGTTTTTCACACTTGGCACCTTTAAGGTGTATGAACTTCAACTCTCAGAATTCTCCAGTAGCACACTGCAGCCAGCATGCTGCTTTTAAAGATTACATAATTTTACTGATACAATTTTGAGATCCTGTAGATAACATCAAAGGATGTTATGAAGAAGATAGTGTTGCTTATCCCTGGCCCAGGAGGTATGTTTCAACATGCAAAGAACTTTTAAATAACAATGAAGCTTCCAAATGTTTTCTAATTTCATTCTCTAACTGTAGAATAGTGAGGAGACCTTTATCATGTATTAATTTAATGCTACAGTGTTGAATTTGGCTAGTCTGTAGCTCTAGACCAGTGGTTCTCAACCTGTGGGTCAGGACCCCATTTGGGGTCGAACGACCATTTCACGGGGGTCGCCAAACAACACAGTCCGCCATTTTTTCCCCTTTTCCTTAGCTGTGCTACTCCCTTTTATTCTATTGGCTTTTGAAAGCCAATAGAATAGACTCTCTTGAATAGAGTCTAATTCTATTGGCTTTCAAAAGCCAATAGGAATTGTCCAGGTTGTCTCTGCCCTGCTGAGCCCGGCAAAAGTCCCATTCTGCAAATGGTGCTGGACTAGTTGAGTAGTCCTCGACTTACGACCAGTTGAGTAGTCCTTGACTTACAACAGGTTGGGGGTCGTGGCATTAAAAAGGTTGAGAACCATTGCTCTAGACCAAGGGTGTCAAACTGCCGGCCTGATGCATCATAGTGAAACCATGCCCACCCCATTGCCTGCAATGGCAAAAAAGTCGCAATACGTTGCGACACGTCACGTGATGTTGCAAGTTTGACACCATTGGTCTGGACAGTGTAAGAAGTATAAAAGTAAAAGGAAAAGAAAAGTCTTATTAATGGGCTACTTCTAGGAGTAATTCTCACAAGGGGAGAATTACAAATTAGAAATTGAATTATAAATTCAAACAAAATTAAAAATTAAATTAAATTAAATAGACAAGTTAGTGCACTTATGGACACCACCTTAGAAACTTCTTAAATATGGGATGAGGTTCACAGAAGTTAAGTTGGAATTAAAACTGTGAAGGTTAATAGACGAAACAACTGAATCGGGTAAGATATTCTAGACTTTGACAATGAATTTTGAAAAAAAAGGTTTAAAGTGGCTTACATTGAAGCGCTCATTCGCAAGCATTACATTCTGATTAACACTTTAAAAAATCATTTACAGGTAAAATGTTACTATGTACAATTTTATATGCAATACCTAATTTTATATGCATTTTTATCATCATACAGTCCAATGACTCTCTTACCTGATATATAAGAAAAAAATTAACACATGACTGAAATATTAATGAGGTAATAATTATAAGAACCCAAACTAAAAGATATAATATAATCAAAAATAAGGTAAAGAGTATTAAAAGAAATAAATCTGCATTCTTGTGCCGATCATGAATTCAGTTAAAACCTATAATACACTATTCCATTTTGAGCATCTTCCTGAAAGCCAACAAGGAGAAGATCTTTATCTTCTATGCCACCATGGAGAAGCAGTGTCTTCTTTCACCTCTTTTACTCTCAGAAATAATAGGCAATATAATTAGATATATACATGTTCTAGTATCAGCTATACATTGTAATCCTCCTCCTATTCTTCCATTTCTTTTGGTTTTAACCATACTACCTGATGATGATGATAATAATTTTCAGTATATATTCATTTAAACCAGATCACAAAATCATACCTAGATTTTTAGTTATGTTGGGGACAATCTTTGAAAAGTAAAGAGTGATACAAGGACAAAAGCTAAATTTGGTTCAATCTCTTTTATAGTTGAATTCATTTAAATCAAATTTATTTTAAATTTATTTTCCTACTCTGGTGTATTTAAACATTACTGACTTCTGTCCCTGTTTGATTGTGACCACTGCGGTTTTTGAAGATGAGACTTGAGACTTTGGAGGAGGCTCGTACAGTTGCTGACTTAAGATGATAAATTATATGAGCTTCAAACTTTTGTGAAAAATGCAAACAAATACTCTTTGCACAATTTTGTTATTAAAAAATGCATGAAGCAAACAGCTGTTGAAAATGCACTGTGTTTCGCCTCTGGGTAAGCTACTTACATGAATAATGGGTTACAACTGTCAAAGTTACCACAAAAGTAATTTGCATCTTTATCCTAATTGGGAATAGAGAAAATAAAAAGTGCCAAACAATACCAGAGATGGTAAAATCAAATTAATAATTTCAAACAACTCAGATCTGATTTTGGAACTAAAGATACCTTAATTTAAAAAAAACCCCAAACTTTAAAACTCGTTATTCTGTGGATGTTACTTTTTAAGCAGTAATTTATTCATAATATTGAAGGCAACTATCCAGAAAAATGTCACAAGGCCAGCCCTACCCATCTTTAGAAGAACTAAGAGGCACAAGCCCAAAAGTGTATTTGAAGACAGCTACTTGCCAAAGCTATAGCAAAGCTATACAAACTAAAAAAATTTTTAAAAACCCCAAAAAACTAGAACAGGCATTGGCAAATTATTATCATAATGTCATCCTCACCCCATAAAAATAATCCTACATGTCTCACCTATGGATATATTTGAAGTGAGCATCAAATGTGCTGATTTTAACCAGAAAAAGCTCTCAATGGAATGGCACAAGAGATCCTGCTGAGATAAGATGGCTTACACTGGCTGAAGAATTCTGGGAGTTGAAGTCCACACTTTTTAAAGTATCCAAGGTTGAGAAACAGCCGCCTATAACCTCCAACCATCCTCAGAAGGCTAGGCAACTCCCATACGGGAAGGCTATATAATTAATATTTGATTCCTAAGAAATTCCCCATTTCCTCAGAGAGAGCTCTATTGTTCCCTATATGGATCCAGTCACTCAAATAAACTTCAATTCCTAGAATCCTTAGCAATGTCCATGCTGGGAAAGATATTCTGGGTTATCTGGAGGGATCCACGGTTGACAAGGCTGGAGTAGCTAGGTAAGATGGGCAGATTCTTCGGAAACCTTCATACATGAGGTGCAGAAATGATTCTTGGTAGTAGCTGTAACACTTTATTATGATTAACTTATCCATGGTTTATCACACAGTCATCCAGATGTTTAGACTGGATTTGACATTTTTATCCATGTATTTTAAGGACCTGGTATAGGCAGTGTTGTTCCTTGATGGTGTTCAATGGTGTTCCAGTTATTTTGGCATTAGACCCAAGACACCTATTATTATTGATACTACTTTTGCCACAGTCATTCTACTTTTGTTTTCAAGTCTTTCTATTTTGTTATCTTCTCCAGTTCTTCTTCTAACTCAGTGGTTCTCAACCTTTTTAATGCCGCGACCCCCAACCGGTCGTAAGTCGAGGACTACCCAACCGGTCGTAAGTCGAGGACTATCCAACCGGTCATAAGTCAAGGACTTTCCTTGCCCAGGAGCACTGCACATACGTGGTGCCACCCCCTGCACCAGCTGAGGTGTAGCTGGCAAGCGGCAGAGATGGCGCAGGCCGACCACTAGTTGGGCCAATAGCTGGCCCAGCGCAAGGGAGGTAAGGCACCTGCCGGGCCCCACGCACACCAGCAACCCTCCCTGCACCCGCCGGCCTCCCACCTCCCACTCCTGGCCCTCTTTTACTTACATTTTTCGTAGTTGCTCAGCAGGGAGGGGTGGAAACTTCCAGATAGCTCGCCTTTGCTGCAGACAACGTGCAGCACCGTTTGCAGAATGGGACTTTTGGCAGGCTCAGCAGGGCAGAGACAGCCTGGACAATTCCTATTGGCTTTTGAAAGCCAATAGAATTAGACTCTATTCAAGAGAGTCTATTCTATTGGCTTTCAAAAGCCAATAGAACAAAAGGTAAAGGGGAAAAGGTAAAGGGGAAAAGGTAAAGGGGAAAGGAAAAGGGGAAAAACATGGCGGACTGCGTTGTTTGACGACCCCCGTGAAATGGTCGTTCGACTCCAAATGGGGTTGCGACCCACAGGTTGAGAACCGCTGTTCTAACTCAGTGTTTCTCAACCTTGACAATTTTAAAGCATGTGGATTTCAACTCCCAGAATTCCACAGCCAGCAATGCTGACTGTGGAATTCTGGGAGTTGAAGTCCACATGCCTTAAAATTGTCAAGGTTGAGAAACACTGTAAAATTAAAACTCATGTGAGGAGTTGGACAAAAATGTGAAAATGATTTGCCACTATCTGATTCCAAGTTTGAGGTTGTTTTTCTCAGTTCTCAATCTA